AAAAGGTAGTCAAAAATAAAAGACTTAATTTCCGAATATCGAGCTTCATTAAAATAATAATAAATCCTTCAACTCTTTGTCATTTTCTCAAACAAATTTATTTTTCCAGTATATGTAGTGCACGTCATGCAGTCATTTACTTATTTCTGTCAGCAAATTGCGTGAAATCACCGTAAATCATTTAAAAGTCCCCATAAGTATATATCGACAATTGATGGCATAAAGTGTGTGCTAATATCAATATCGTTACCTTGGGGATGGGTTTGATTATAAAATGCAATCTGAAAAGAAGCGTCATAAAATAATGTTGCGTAAAGAATGAATTACTATTACCAATCGATATCCAAGTTCAAGATGGTTAGAATATGCAAATGATAATTCTACCATTTCCTTCATTTTATTCGATTTGTAATATTCTAAACACGAAAAGACATTGTGATTTTCAATTCTGATGACCTCTTTCGACCAAAAACATATTGTAAATATCATTAAATAAAGCTATATCCTTCGTGGACGACAATTCGATCTCTCAATATCGAACAATTTAGCTGCTTGTTTAACAGTGAAGCGATCTTTCTTAAGCTCTCAGGTTGGAGATAACTCTGAAAATATGTACGACGGTTGTTCCCGAAAGGATTACAAAAGGCAGAGGAGAATTTTCGTTTTGGATGAGGATGGGAATACCGGTGATAATGAAACCAATCATGCGCGAGAGAAATCTGATACAGGTACTAACATTTACAACACTGTTTACGCTTCTTATGACATGGATGAAGGAATTGCAGACATGAATACTAAAAGTTCCGGTGATGATGTCATTCTACGAAAAAGAATTTCGAATCGAAACACAAATGAAGTCGATGAGCACCAGCCCCTCAATTACAGCGAATTAACTTCGTCCTTCTTCAAGAAATCTTCAATATATGCTTTAAACCAAATTGGAAATTCTAACACAACCAGACGCAAAATATTCTGGGCTTTCATTTTAATCGGAGGACTCATAGGCTGCTGTTCTCAAATTTACAGATACCTTTCTGCTTATTACGAATATCCTGTTGTTATTAACATAGATTCGATAAATCTATTCAGTCAAAAATTTCCAGGAGTTACTATTTGTAATTTGAACAGCGTACGAAGCGATTATTTTGACTGCGTACTGAGGAAACTCGACAGTGAAAGCTGCAATTCGTCAACGATTCCAGTACCGAAAACTCTGAGCGAAGCGGCTACATGGGACACACCCTATTGTTTTGAAGAAAAAGACACTACACTCAGCGAGGAGTTCTTGGAACGAATACAGTTTCAAAGCTTGTACTTTTCTCTAGAAGATTCTTCCAGATTCCACTACGGACATCAAAGCGAAGATTTTTTCATCTCCTGCTCATTCAATGGGGAAGAATGCTCATATTCCGACTTCAGTCTCCATCTAGATAACATGTACGGTAACTGCTTCACTTTCAACAAAGCCAACAGCAGCAAGCCTCCACTTAAGACATCCTTTGTTGGACCCAATTCGGGACTTACGCTGGAACTGAACGTACAAAGTGATGATTACATTTGGTTGACTAAATCTGTAGGAGCTCGAGTGGTTATACACGATCCCTACCAAGAACCCACACCACAAGATCAAGGAATTAACGTCAGCCCGGGATTCGAGACGACGCTTGGACTATCCAAAGTGGTGATGCAGAGATTGCCTTATCCATACAAAGATCATTGCAAGGACTACGAAAAGGGTGACAGTAAAAGACAATGCGATTCTCTCTGTGGTCAGAAAAAAATATCAAAATTTTGCTCTTGTTCAATACCTTATGGTATTTTAGAGGCGGAAAGGTTCTGTAACTTCGCCAACGTCACTGAACTCTGTTGCGTTTATCGGGGACGGAAGGAGGATGGCTTGGACACGAAGTACAACATAACGTGTGACTGCCCTCTAGAATGCGAATCTGTGAGCTATGATTTGAAGATATCGAGTGGAGTGTGGCCAGCCAAGTCAGAAAACTTAGGCCCACAATATAGTTCGCAATCCGTTGAGGCCTTACGAGAAACAATGGTCAAGGTTAAGGTTTATTTTGATACTCTGGAACAATTGACGTATGAACAAAAAGCGATGTTCGAAGATTCTGAAGTCCTCAGTCAGGTGGGAGGTCAAATGGGACTGTGGTTGGGTTTATCGTTAGCAGCTATGTTTGAATGCTTAGAAAATATTGTGTTATTTTGGCACTATAGAAGGCAGCATTCTCGTGAAAATGTGCAGTGATGGGTAAAATATTTTTCACTTCAAAAGTTTTAGAAGCTGAAATTCTTTATCACTTAATTGAGTTTGTTGATAGATCAAATTATACTTTTTAGTTTGAATACATTGATAATAATTATAAATACACTTAGTACAAGCAGCTATGAAAAATAACTATAAATACGAAATTTTTGCTTTCGACATTCAAGTCTTAGTCTTTGGATTTAATAATATCTCCAAAGTATTTTAGTATTTATAAAAATTTCGTAACAATATTGTGATCTGAATAACTTAAATGATTAACATAATTTAAGCTAATTTTTAAAAATGAAAGTTTATGGTAATATATAATAATTAATACTTTTTTTATCTTTTAAAAATTCAGCATATATCAATAGGAATTAGTATAATTTTCTCCAGGCTTATTATAAAGTCAAAATTTAAGCTAAAACATTTTTTTAAGTTTTATTCTAGCATTTATAGCACGCAGAATAAATAACTTTTCTCTTTTTCTTAATGTTATGTTCTCTTATTAGAAATTACTTAAATAAATATAAATAAAACGCTTCTCTGAAATTGCTGGAGGTAAAAAATGCATACGATGGCAAGTATTTTATTTTTATTACACTGGTAATGAGAGAGGCATTTTTAAATAGCACTTTGTTCTATCAAATGAATATTATTAAGTGTGGAATGAACTGGGAACATTTGACACACGTAATTAGATATGTAAAAATAGGATTTATAATCACTAATGTATTATTAATTATAAGATACTCAAATACCTAACAATATTTTGGAAGTTTTTGTTGTATTTTCAAATAAATAAGCCCAATTATAGTACAAAGTTCCTTTATAAAATATTTTGTTTTGAAGACTCTTGCCTTGAAATAAATGTTTCGAAAAAATTCCATTAAACTTAAACGTTAATAATGATTTTCTATTCTATTTAAATTGCATTCTTTTCTATGATATTTTTTTAGTTTTACAGGTTACCGTGATTAAACAAATATCATTTATTGCTAAAAACTACTGCCATCGAAAATTAAACAATGAATTTGTGCAATGAAGTGCACCTCGAATGGCTTATTTGTTGGTAACTCAGGGTTTGAATACATATTTGATTGATGATTTTTATTCAATTACGATTGTTAAAACTCCATTCCAATTCTGTATGTTAATATGTAAACGAAACAATCTCGCATTAAAATTGCTTCATTATTGTATAGAATTCATCTTCAAATTTTAAAAATGAGAATGTTTTGATATTTAATTGAAAGAGAATAGATCAAAAATGGTTTGCTGTAGTTTCTGTTATATGTTAGCAAATTCAATTACTTTAAGTTTTCATTATGGCGCATAGTTTTATTAAAAAATATCCTCTTTTACTGATTAAGTGCTGTGCATACTTCTGTCATGTAATAATACATTTTACTACACCAATTATTTATATATTTTGGATATTTTTTATCTAGATATTGTGCATGTTAGCTTTTCTTCGTGTACAGGTAGTTATCAATAATTTCAAAATAATAAGCCTTTGTTGTTAAATTTGTAGTACTTTAAATTTTGCGTTTGATGAACGCATTTTCAAAATTTCAGTTATCATAATTTTTTTTAAGAAATTAATTATTTACTAATTGAAATATTTTTTACTCGTTGCACTATTAACTCGTCTACGCTTGAATTATGTTTAGTACTGCATTTATACATGATAAAATGCTTCTGAAAAGGATACGAATAAGAATTATTGAAATATTTTAGGAATTTAAAGAGCTCTTAATTCGATAGGGTCCATCATGCAAGCAGAGAAGTAAAATAATCGTGTACAGTGATTCCGAAATTCTTATGAAAATATAATAAGATTTTGTCTCACGGAGGGACCAAATGTTTATTTTGTTATTGTTTGTTAAAAATCCGTAAAATTGTCATGTCAACTCACGAGGGATAATGGGTAAATCATTATCATTCAGGCATGCCAGTGGTGTTTTAATGAAATTTCAGGTTTTAATTATTTACTCCCTGCTGGAAAACATTTGATTGGTTATTTTTATTGACATCGTACCAAGAAGCAATGCTGTGGCTATTGGATGTGGACAAGGTAATTTTGGACCTTCATTTTTTTTTACCTAATATGCGATCGCGCCTTTCTATGTGACTCGTTCTATTTTATTTCCATTGAATAAAATTTTCCAAAATATGAAAAATGGTTTTATACGATGTTTTACATTTCATAAGTTTGAAAGAAATATTGTTAGTCGTATCTTAAACTTGTAGCGTTAATTTTTAAGAATACAAATGAGTAACTGTGTTTAAGAAGAAATAGACTTCACACAATATTCAAAGCATTTTTATAAAAAAAATATACAAACATTACTTCGGAAGTTTAAATAAAACAAAATGAGATTTTTATTTCCAGGATACTCTGTGAAAATAACTTATAAGTCCTCACAAGAATGTTTAAAAGATATTTAAGTAAAAGAAATGTTTTCTTCTTAGGTTTAAAAAAATTGAAATGAAAAATTATGATATAACATTGTTCTCAAGAGACAGATAAAGAACAGAAAACAGATATTACCATACACTAACCTGTAAGACTATGGTCAAAATATATCTTAGGACATAGATGTCGTATATTTTGGAAGTTGTACCATGTTGGTTTTTGAAACCTAAATATTCCACACAGTATAAAATTTTAGTTTTTCAACATTAAACAATATTCTGCGAATTTACATAAAAAAATAAATAAAATGAGAGAGAAAAGTCGACCAGAAGCGGGATTCGAACCCGCGTTCACCAGATTACTACACATTCATTGAGAGCCCTCCAGTTATGATGAAGTTTGAAACCTCTTTCACATAATCCAGGGCTTGACGATTACCGCATTTGCATGCGGATTAAACAATTGCCAACTTTAGTCGGACATCACACATCTAGAGCCTATTCAAGCGATCTTGGATGTTTTACAAATTATTCTATCTTTATCTTTTTTTTTTCCGTATAGTTTTTTTAATATTTTTTTGTATTACCGGCATTCATTAACAGATGGATAAGGAGGACTCATCAACGGGTATAGAAGTCTGATGCCATAACCACTCGGCCATCCTGGGCGACAGTACAGTATCGTAGCATTCAATTTACTTTATGTTCCACGTAACTGTTAGTGCTTCATTTTAAATCCATAGTCTGCGTGAACTTGTTAAATAACTTTACGTCTTCTAGTTTTTACAGTGTTTTTCTTGGTAGCATTTTTTTTTAACTTTTTTAAATCGTTTCCAGTATTTATTATTCATTTTTGTTTCAAGGTACTTAAAGCAAATCGAATAATACTTATTTTTAAGCAATTTAACCCACTTTTAGCAATGTAAAATATCGTACTTACGTTAGAATATATTTTGAAAAAGATGTATTTACTTTCATAACCTTAGAAACTCGTTTCAACAAGCTTTTCTTAACATTTCTGAAGTCTTCGATTAGCTCAGAGTTTCTCTACCAGTAACACTAAATCTCCGAAAATCTTTTGCTATACCAAAAATTTTTACCACTCTCATGAATATTGTTCCAGAGGACAGAAAAAAAATTCATACTTCAGTTACGTTCTTCACTAGATAAAACAACTAATGCTGTAAGGGATCAGATTTTAATTCTAAGAAGTTAATTAAAATGTAATATTTTACTGAGACTTTGTAATAAGTGATTTTGTTACAAATAAGGCAAACATAAATGTTAAAGTAAATGAAAATTAAATAGGGACGTAAAATACATATATTAGCCATCAAGACTATTCAAGAATTTAGAAACATTAATAAAAATACTAAAGTTATAAAGAGGAATTGGACGATCTACTTAACGAAAAAATTATATTCATTAAATATACCTTATGCTTTAACTGACTCAGACTGTAACTTCGTGTGCACAGCAATTTCATTCTATAATTTTGCAAAATATTTCTGACGGCAAAAATTTCACTCTAATTCACAAATTTATATCACTAAAATTCACAAATTAATAAAGCCACAAAAATCGATGTAAGACTTTCGTAGGGTGAAGAATCATTTTGGTTTATAAATGGCATGTCATTAAAGCAATTTTATAGGAGGCCATATTTAGTCCGAATATTGTCCTTAAAATAAAAAAGAGAGAAACGCTACTTCAAACCCTATTATTATAAGTTGGGGAGCAGTTGAGTTTATAGATTAAATATTCTACCAAAATTAAGGAAAGTCTTAACCAACTTCCTTCGAAATATTCTGTGGCAAATTGTAACAACACTATTGAAAGGATGGTATTCTTTTTTTTTTTTTAATCCTATGCCCATCTCCAACCTTTCAGTCATGAGTCGACGAGCAGCCCGATACAGTGAAGAATGGTACAAGCAATCAGCAAAACGTTGTCAGTAACACACAAAGATGATGAGTTAAAAGAGATAAAAACATTGAGGACGCCGAGGCATAAGCTGAGATGTTCTCCAGTCATGCCATAGTCCCAAAGAGGACAAATATCTGTGCTCGTGAGTCCAGTTCTATACAGGTGGCTCTGTAGATAGTCGTGGCCCGTAGCAATTATTCTAATTTTATCTAGGTTTCTGTTCAAACAAAATTCAACGTTTCGAACTCTCGTGTTAAATTTAACGAGTTTCCAAATCCGCATTTGACTAATCAACGCGCTCCAGAAATGTAGAAATGTCCTAAAGCTGCATTTATGAAACGTAAATCCAACAAACTACACATGGTTTAAATTATAGTACTGGTTTAAGCAATAACCATTTAACTTTTGTGACGAGTCTGGCGACTTGGCGAAGAACTTGGTGACTTTGGCGACAAAAATATATTCATATAAAATGTTGGAATCTAGGCAATATCTCCACTGGGAAGAAAGTTACGGACTTTTTCTGGACTTTCCCTGTAAAGTTACACCTGCCTGGAGTGACTATAAAAGGGACAGAGGCGGAACGGGAGGGAAATCGATTAGAAAATGTCAGGATAGGCTGCGCGTATCTGCGGAGGAGTTATCGGTAGTATAGCCCGACGAATTTGCAGAAGTCGTAATAAGAAGTAACACGATGGCTATTGGCGATGAATCTCGTTATCCTGAGTTCCAATCAAGTGACAAGGACAACATCTGAGTTAGCATTCCACCTTTCTCATTTTTATACCACACCAATATGAGAGCTTAAAGTCCCAACTATCCATCAGCCTCGCTGATCGAAAGCTCTTCAGAGAAATCGGCATTTGAACCTGCTTGTTCTCAATAATGTGCTTATTTGTACAACGAACTTATTATACATCAGAGCCCTAACTGGTTCATTCAATTTTGAAACTACGAGTTGCCTTTTGATGCCATAAAAGTGTGTTAAAAATATCTGCGTATAACGTAATACTAGCAACATTTCCATAATTGCTTAAAAAATGCTCACATAATTCTTATTTCAAAACAGTAAATGGAGAAAACTAGAACACCTTTTAATTTTAAAAAAAACTTAAATACATTCTATAACAAAAAGAAACGACGCACGAAGAAGGAGATGTCCGATGGAAGCAAAAAATTAAAGGATAGGAAAATTATGTACAGAATAGAAAATGGTTAAAACCTCAGAAAAATTGAATGATTTATTTCAGAGTTAACTACATAGTTACAAAATAATGAGCTCAATAAGGAGTCGACCCATCTCTAGCCTGGATGCAAACTGAGACACGACGTGGCATAGAGTGATAAGCTCCCTGGTGGCCTGCTGCTGTATTTCTTGCCAAATTTGCTCCAATTGTCGGGCAACATTCCCTGGTAGATGCAGTCGCCTTCCCATCATCGCCAACCCTTCTTTAGTGATATGAAGGATCCGATCCTTGATGCCGCCAAAGACCATTCGTGTAACCGGGACCGATACACGTTAAATCTGTCGAGGTTCAAAGTCCTCCCGATGGTGTAGTATGGAAGTTAAGAGAGAAGGGATCAATTCAGGTGTTGTCTTCATCACTTGATCGAGGTTTAAAATTAAGAGGTCCGTTGCCAATAGTTTACGTGCTGTCGTACTTAGAAGAAACACTAGGCCTGTTGGCGAGAGTCCTTATAGCTTTCAACCTCGGTCAAGTGACGAGGATGATATCTGATTTGTTCCCTCCTCCCTTAACTTTCTTCTCATCTGAATGTGAGAATATGGAGTGTCGGCAGATTTACCGCGTATCAGCCCGGCTGCACAACAGATCTTTAGTGTTACCAGGACTCGAACCCACGACTTGACTGAAACAACGCTGGCCATGAAATAGGGACCATGATCATATGACAATAATGGCTTGTTTTTTACAGAATTCGGTTTCGTAAGAGATCAACTACAATTGTGATCATTTGTATGAGCAGTCTGTCATTCTGAATAATGTTGGAATTTTGTGAGTTTCGCCACTACAAAAGGCAAAGCTTCATCTGAAATGTAATGTTCATTGGTCGAATCAGTATTTTATCCGATGATTAAGGCTTTAACAGATTCTCACTTTCCATTTTTCATACATGTGATTCTTCTACGAATAAAAGTTCAGTATATGATCTTTCAACACTAGAATTTTCCGTTTTCCTGTATTTTGGCTAATCACTGATCCCAGAAAAACTATTTATGAAGTCTATCTCTTAATTGCTTGTAAGTCATTTTTATTGACAAAATAGAAGTTTGTATTAAACCAGATGGTTTCTTTCTGAGTGAAACACCCTTCATTTATTTCTGCAGAGTTCCATTTATGTTTATCCTGAAATTAAACTTTGATAATAACTGTCTTGATAAACTTTTATGAGCTGTGGTAAATCGTTTCCAAAATAAAAATTTCACTTTGTTTCAAGGCTTTTGACTTTACAACTTATGTTTGTTGATTTAAAATATCTATATATAGCAGGTATACCCGTCTTCGTACCGGTAAATTGAAAAATGTAACAATAAAGATGAACGAATAAAATAATTTTTGCACAGAGTCAGTTCTACGCTGGATTTCAGGAGGCATAACGACGTACAATAATCAAGAAAACATCATGTTTCCTTAACTCCACTGTAGAAATAACGATATGTAACAAAGTTCGTACTTTATACTCTTCATTTTAGCGCCGTCAATCAGTTAACCGCTAGCTCTCTGCCTATGCACTGTAGGGTGAAATTTCTTGTTTAGATGTTTTCTATCACCCCTTAAATATTTGCCCATGAGTTTGGAAACACCCCGAATAAATAATGTAATTCACTGTGTAATTTTTACACAATGCAAAAAATTCTCCATAAAATATTAAGAATTGAAACTCGTTCCAAGAAAATATTTTTCATAATCTTTAATAAACTGCTGTTTGTAGAAAATGCAACACCATGAAGGAATCATCAGAATCAAATGAAATTCGCAGCAAATGTCAATTATAGGATATTATGCAAATTAATAAAGTTTCAGAGCCATCGCGCGTGCAGCGCCCTCTGAATTGATGCTGAAAGCGTATAAATAAAGTGCTGTAGCGGGACGTTGAAAAAAGTCTATGATTATTTGTTAGTGGCAAACGTTTAGTGAGACCTGAGTATGCCTCCACGACGGAAGAATAAGAAATTCAAGCAACTTACGGAGTTTGAACGAGGGAGGATAATCGGCCTTCGAGAAGGAGGATTTTCCTATCGCGCAATAGCAGCTCGTATGCAGCGGAACAGTTCCACAGTGATGCGAGTTTGGAAGCAGTGGACCGACGAGCACCGAACAACTCGAAAAACAGGCACTGGACGACAGAAGGTGACGTCAGAGCGCGATGATCGACACCTGCTCCGCATGGCGGTGAATGATCGCACAGCTTCCTCCAGGCAGCTGGCAGCACGTTGGTCTACTGCTACAGGTGTACAATTGTCGGCTTCGTCAATTCGTCGTCGTCTGCTGCGCCGTGGATTGTGCAAGGGTGCCTTTATACAGGATTCCCCTCACGGCGAATCATCGACGGCTGCGTCGGCAGTGGGCTCTTGAGCACAGAGACAGGCGAGCTGATTGGCACCAAGTTGTCTTTTCAGATGAATCACGCTTCAATTTGTGGACCCATGATGGCCGTGTTCGTGTTAGACGTTATGCCGGTCAACGCTGCCTTCCTGAGTGTATTATTGAACGACATAGTG